ACAAGGACCCCTGAAATGCGAAGTACACCAACAAATCACCCAACCACACCAGGGTACATCAAATACCAAATTTAATTTTCCCCTTACTTGCAATATGTCCGGCAAACACCCTAGATCTCAACATCGCCTCGAGGACTTGGATCCAACGCTGCTAAAACTGGTCTCTTGACTTGCCCAATGCATCCTCTACGGGTCTACGGGACCCAGTCTATATCTGATCCTTTCTTAAACAACCCGTTGTTGGTTTCCCTGGGGGGCAAGGGCCAAGTTGCTCCAACATGTTTTTGACCGACGCTTGTGTTGGAAGCAGTTGCAACTGCATGGGAAACCTTTCACGCACCCGAACCATTGCGTTCTGATTCGCGGCAAGTCAAATATTTCAGGCATCGGGATCGGAAGGAAGATGTGGCCACTGGGCGCCGCAGAGCGCTGACCATGAAGGATCGGACGAAACTGGTTGCTTACGCTTAGGCCTTGCTTGAACATGTTCGTCTTTGGGCTTCTCATCGTTTTGCAGTGCGGTGCATGTGTCATGTCTCTTGGCATGCCACGCGTGGTTGCACACCGCTTCACGTTTCTTGCCTGCCATGCGCTATCAGAGCGACACAGGCGTCTGGCAGCCAAGCTCTGCTTGTTCCAGCCCACGAGGGCCATCCCAACATTTCACAAATGCGTGGAGAATTCTGGTTTGCACTCTCAGGGATCCCCCCCCCTTCAGGTCGAAAGGCGTGGAGTCATAATACAAACCCGAATAGCTAAGTCAACTAATTTTCCGTGTCTTCAATGCAATGCTGGCACAAATGTTTTAACTACATCAAGGGTTTTTGCTTTTTGGGGAGGCCCGGCCCTATCGTTTCCATGAAATTTGTGGTGTTTTGGCAAAAGCGTACCCCCTCCCCTTATTGAAGTGGTCATTGTGTCTGTGTGTGTGTTTTGTGCATGTCTCATACAATTTGGAATGCAAGTGACCACCTTTGCGTTGCGCAAACCATCACTTGGACCAAAGTATCAAATCTGGCGAGGCTCGCCCCGTACGAGCTCGAGCTACAAAACTCCCACATCGACAGTGACGAAGATGAGACTGAGTCCATCATGTCAAGGGGACGCCAAAGGCCAGGTTTCAGCCGAAGCGTGGCTTCGAGCCAAAATCGGGCTACGGCCAGCCATCGGGGCATTTGAAGCCATCGGGGGGTACTTACTTGATTTGGGTGCCCTGACACCATTTCGGTGGGGTTTGTGTCCACCAAGCACTTTGAAGGTGAGGAATGTCAAAAGTAGTTACGAAACGACTTGTTCGGCCAGTGATGAAACAAGCTGCAACTTTCGAAAACGATTCTGAGAAGTAACCATCATGAAATGAATCATAGCCTGGTTTGATTAATCACAGTGACGTCACTAAATTTGCAAGGGACCTCTTCCCCCCTCTCCAACTGGAAATTAAGAGGGCGCCGCCAATGGAAACCCGGGGAATCGTACAAAAGGGGCCCCCTCGATGGATGTGGAGCCCCCTCCCTATTGATTCAGGGATGGGACCACGAGCCCTTTTGATTTCGCATTTACAAAGACCCCCCTTTCAAGTGAACCACCTCCCTTCAACGAATACACCAAACACTTTGTGGTTGGTACGACAGAGAATCCAGGTCCTTTATGTCACCGCATCCGTAGCATGTCACTTCTGGTTGATGGAATTTTCGCTCGAAACATTATCCTTTGGGCTTTGTGCTTCGAGCACCACCCTTCCAAGAAACACCACATGCCACCCAACCCTTTTGGCCCAAGATGGTGTTTCCCTGATTTTGAAGGGACCCAAGCACCCGCCTCTTGGCTGGTTCAAACTGATCTGCGGTGGACGCCTTTAGCCTGAAGTTGCAGCAATGGGGAAGTGCCTGCCGGTGTGGTTTGGGGGGGGGGGGGGGGAACGCACCTGGGCCTCGCAGACTTCTTTTTTTTGCCCTGGATAAGGCGCAGGCAGATTTGCGTGTGTGCATTTTCCGTTGGAGCATCGGCAGGGAAGGAGCTTACGACTATGTTCACCAGACCGTTTCTGCCCAATCCTTGGTATGTCAGCAAAAAACCATCCAACATTCTCAACCCCTCCGAGAACTAGAAGGGTTGGTTAAGGGCTTGTTTGGCCGGGTTTGGGGCTGCTTGACAGCTGCAAAACCAACCCCAGCCCTCAACCGACCCTAGACCCACATGTAACAACCACCCTCTCAATCGCACCCTGCCCAACACCACCCCCTAGCCCAATACCAAGCCAAGCCCCGGCCTGTCTGACCTCCTCTGCCAGAAGCCTTCCCCTTACTTCCAGCAAGTTGCCCCACATCTGCAACCAACTATAAAACCCACCAAATCCAAAGAGCCACATCTGCAATCAACTACAACAGCACCTTAAAAGGACCACATCTGCAACCAATCCAGGCCCAAACAAAAAAGCAACAGGAGCACCCAGCCAACGCCACCCGCATCTCCACTGCTCGATCCGGTCGATCCGAGGCACTTGGCAGCGCCTCGGCGGCCCCGCACCAGCAGCGCGGTGCCGAAGGAACCCTCCCCCAGCACCTGCAGCCGCTCGTAGCCGCCTCAATGGGCAGTGACCGTGTGACCCTCCGTCCGGAACGTGGCGTCCTGAAAACCCCGAGCTCTTTTGTGCCGGCCCTCGAAACAACGGAGAAACGTGATTTAGGGCACCCAGGATTTGGTTGAGGCTACCCTTTTTTCGCCTTGGCTTCAAGGGAAACCGAAAGGGAAATCACCAGTTGTAGGATCCTGATTTTTTGAGGCACGCACAAAGATTCATGGGATTCCCACTGGTTAAGGCCAAACAAGGCCAAATTAGGGCTTGCTGGCTGGGGGTCCAGGCCCTCCCCTCCCCTCTCTCCGCATACTAACAAAGGGCCTTACTAAGCCCTTAATTATTTAGAGTCAGAAACAAGGGGTAGTTGGGGAGGGGCGGAAAGGTGGGCCCTCAAGGGTCTTTGGTTGAGCTTCCAGAACAGTGCTGGGGTCCCTACATCATTTTCTACATCCTTTGCCGGGATACCCTTGCCTTCGACCCTTCACCAATTCAAACAGCGAAAGCTCCCATCTGTTGACTTGAAAACTTCTCGTAGCCCCTGTGTTTTTCAATAAGCCGCCCCTGCAAGCCTAAAACCCGACAAAATAAAAAGGGAAAGAACATAACACAAAGCTGCACACGAGAAAACAAACCCAAGCAAATGGCGAACCAAATGAAAACACACCAACCAAAAACTTGCCAGCAAGCAAACCAGCCAGCAGCCAGCAAGCCAGCAAGCCAGCCAGCCAGCCAGCAAGCCAGCCAGCAAGCCAGCCAGCAAGCCAGCAAGCCAACAAACAACAACAACAAAACATGTGTGCTGCTCATTAAGCCCGTGCTGACCATGGTTTCAGTCCAGGCACGCTCCTCCAGCATCAGCGCATCAGTGCATCAGCGCAAGCAAATGCCACATATTAGTTGGCAAGTACTGGTTTCTGCTGTGCAGAAATGGCTGTCCTTTTCGAGGGCATTCATGGTTCTTTGCTTACAAGGAGCAGCAAAAGGAACTCCAACTTGGGTTCCACTTTTGAGAATCCACTGCTTTCGGGTCTGGGGTTTGCAGCTTGAGGGGTTACTGCAGCTTACCAATTGCCAAACCTGCTTGCTGGCTTTGAAGCCTTTTACACGGGGCAAAACCATCTCGAGATAACACTCCGGAAACAAATAGACCATCTCCCAACAACAGGCGGTTGTTTAGGCCAAAGGAGGTGCCATGCTCTTGTGCTTTGCTCAGGTCGTAACCCTCACAGAATTACAACCTCTGGGAAAAGCGCTGAGACATCTATAGAAGGCTCATTTCAGTAAGCTGAAGTTTTTACAGTGGCCACACGAAGCGGGTGGATTCACAGCTGCTTTGGCGGTCTCTGAAATAAGAAAACAGCTGCGGACTTGTAAGGACTGCTAAACGGACGTTGCCTCTGATCTTGAAAGCACCCACTCTTGGATACTCTCAGCTTCTGGCCGATGTGTAACCCCCGGGAAAACCGGCTGAGCGAAACAACTTCCTATGACGCTGAGCCAAACCCCTTCCCCGAGCCATGTAACCCCCAGCTCCAAGCAATTGGTATGGGCACTTGGCTGGCCGATGGGAACACAACAGCTGTGGGGACAACTGGAATCCTGGAACACACCTTCCATCCCCCGAATGCCGGTCGGTCAAATGGCACCGCAAGGTGGTGTTCAACCAACTGACTTGAAAGGCCTCACACCGCCAGAACTGCAATGCACAAGTGAAAGACTGGAAAATTGACCTAAGCGGAAAGCCGCAACTAGGGCCATTGTTTGGATACAACCCATTTTAGGGATCTAGTTCCCCGCATGGGCGTCTTTTCAGGCAGGTGGCCGTATCTTGGCCGTAGATGGCCCGCATCTTTTCAACCAAGTGTAGACGAAAGATTTCACAAACGCAGAAGAAACCGTCTGGCCATTTGTGGCCAAGGCCACACGACGGTGGCACAACAACCTGACAAATGGCATTGATATTCGTGTGCAAAATGTGTTTGTTTCCTGTCTTCAAGGGAAAAAGGTGCATTTATTTCCTCACTTATCCGCAAGGCCCGTGACCATGAGCCGGTGAGGTGCTTGCTAAGAAGCGCTGGAAGTGCACATTCTCAAACTAGGCCCTGGTTCCAGAAAGACGCGCCAGGCCCAATTTCTCACAAACACCCCATCGTAACAACAAACTGAGGCTGGCGTCACAACTACGCACGTGCAGCTTGACACCTGCATGAACAAACAAGGAGGGTCTGGGCTTGGGGTAGAATCAGGGCCCGTGGCTGTCACAAACCCTCAAGGCAACGGAACTGGATAAAGCGTTCGTCCAGCGCTAGCAGTCGCTATAGTAGGTATCCATGGTTCGAGGTTTCACATGATTTTTGCTGACCTATCACTGCTGGAAGTCGCTGGAGTGCCGGCTCGACATTCGCCTCACTTGCAATCAACAATTCACCTAACACCAAAAAACATTCCTTAAACGTCAAAGCAGCTCATGGCGACCTTCCCCTGAATGTTGAGGAAACACCATCCCTCAATTTTTGAGGAAGCACCATTCAGCTTCTCAGAGCCCCCCTCATCCCTGAAACCGTCCGCGGCACCTGCACGGTGCTGGAGAAGTGGTCCAATGAGATGCGGCCCACATCCGGCACCTGGCGCTCCGGCGCTCCACGGGCTCCACGGGCTTCTCGAAATGGGATCCGATCCGATCCCAGGTTTGGGGCTGCGGGAAACAGAAAAGCACCGATTTGGAGAAACACTGGGGACAGTTGACCAAAAAGAGTCACAAGCCTGGCGTAAAATACGGCTGATTCATGAGACCGTGGGATTTTGATGGGGTGCAACCCATTCTGGCGGGGATCCGGATCACTTGGGGGAAACAAGTGGACTTCATTGGGCCTTCCCAAATTCCCTGATCCCTGCTCCTTGCCGTATCCCTACCAACTGGATTTGCCGCAACAAACACATTCCCATCCCCTTTCGAGAGGGTCCAAGTACTTAAGTACTTGATGACGTGGTTTGACCTCCTTGACACCTCAAACTCAAATACCAGAAAGTATTTGGATATCCTTTCAAGGAGTGGTTTCACAAGTCCACCAGCCACGAGCCCTTTCCGAGGTCCAAATCCAGTTCGTCACCACCAAGTTGTGGGTTCGACCCGCTTTCGGCGCGTCCGAAGTCGCAAGGCCTCCCAGAGGTCCTTGGCGGCGTTCATGAGGACGAAGCTTCGGAGCTGGTTGGCCACCACCTGGAGCTCGGGTCTCATGGAGTTCCATTTGACCACGAGAGCCAGGAAAACGCAACAGCACTGACCAGGGCCCCCCCCAAAAAAAAGAGAGAGAAACAAGTGCTTTTTCAACCATGGCCAAAATCCCAAGTGTCCAAAAAGCAGTGCTTGGGGGGGGGGGGGAGTACTGGACACCAATCATCTTGTTCGGTTGATGATGTTGGGGCGAGGAACAAGAAGTTCCAGAAGACTTCCCCTTTCGTTTGCTGGTGAATCAACAGATTCTGAGCCAGCCAGTGACTCAGTGGTTGCTAACTGGAAGCACCGCAAAACCGATTGATTCCCATCCCCTTGACTGAAACTGCTTAGCACAAGTTGCCTCTTGGCCCCTCCAGACTTCTGTCTCATAGACCCCAACAAATTCTTTGGTTTACCTTTGAATCCACCTCGGAAAGGGGGACTCACCTTCAAACAAATGGCCCACCGAATCTCGCGAGTCCCCACGTCCCGAGCGCGGCCTCCTCAGCCTGGAAGAAATGGTCCACCGCCTCCTGACGTACGCGTGACTGAGAGCCACTGAGATTGTCAAACATGTCAACAGGAGAAAACATGGCCTCTGTGGTTCAAAAAAGCATATTTGTATGTAACATAATGGGGCAAGTAACTAACAAGCTCGGATATCTCATGATCCTAAGGTACACTGAGTTTCATGCCCCATTCTAATCATTTAGGTCCTTGTAGTACATATTGGCACGGGTCATGCGTGCAATGCATCAGGCAGCATTGTGCAGTCACACACTTTGCGCCCAAAGCGAAACAATTATGTCTCTGATAAGTCGTACTGTTAAATGAGCCGACAGACCATACGGGCCATATCAGGGTGCTGGACCCCTAGAAGCCTCCTCCCTTTCCAGTTGTTCCTCGATTCTTTTTGCACAGCAAACCAAAAAGGGCTCTCCTATTCCTGCATCATTCTCCGGATTCCCAAACTCTTTCGACAGTCCTCTTGGCTCTCCGGTTGGACTGAACGAAAAGCCAGCAGCTGGTGCCAGCCATGCCAAGGTTTAACGCAAACCCAGTGATTCCATTTACCTGTCTCGGTAACCCACAGATCCAGTCTTCAAGACCTCAGAACAACGCCTCGTTCTGTTATTCACTGGGATCCACGGAGCCACGTTCTTGGTCGAGTGTCTTGCCATCTCGTGTCTTGGTCGAGCCCCGTGCTGTAGGAAGCCAAAGGAACCCAACGTTCATTGGAGTATTGACCTTCTCGGAATGATAAATCCGCACGTCCGCAACCGGCATTAAAACACACAAAAAACACTCACAATAAGGACTAGGTGAGTCCTGCCGGAGCATGTCAGATCCAGTCCAAGCAATGCTCACACATCTGCTTCGTCCGTGATCAAAGAACACATCTGTCAAGCTGCTGCACACGAGAAACTGTGGAGGGGGGCAAACTAAACTGAAGTCCTGGCAAGCAACCAAGCTGAACGCGCAAACATCAAGCTGGGTAAGAAGATCACCCCGTCATATATATATATATGCCTGTACATATGTATATATATATATATATGTCAAAGCGCAAGACATGCTGAGGTCGCCATACCCCCAAGACATCTCCAGGCCCATCGGAGCCTGCGCCACCTCCTTCGGCAGCAGGGCCACCAGGTCGTCCCGCCGCTCCTGCGACGTCCAAACTGGTGCCTCCAACGAGAACCCAACCTGCAACCCTTTCGCTTCTAGAAAACAAGCCCAAAATGAAAAAGCCTGTTACAAGTCCCATATGGGATGGTTCCCTCATGCCCTTCAAAGGCGACATGTTGCCGCTGAAAGCTGTAGGATGCCCTAAGCAGCCCAAGCTGAAGGGTGCTGGAGGGTTCCGGTTGGAGCGTTGGAGAGCGCTGCGGAGGGGTTCATGCTTCAAGCAGGGTCTTCAGGGAGCTCCGAGGGGCTCAGCACCGGGCCATGGGCTCGTTTATGATGGTAGCGCATCATGTAGGTGGGATTCGTGTCCACCAACCACTTTGGAGTGGTTCCCTATCCAATGTTTTTGGATAAACTCACTCAGGAACCTTCCAGCTATAGGGCCCAAGCACACGCAGGGGGTCCGGTTTCTGAAAACACCCGCGGAAAACTGATAGGCATCAACGGACCTAGAGATATCATCACTGCTGTTCCCAGGATATGGTACTTGACACCACCAACGGGTGGGTTGTATTAGAGCAATGTCAGGCAATCCCGTTAACGCCGTGTGGGTCCTCCTTGAATTAAAGGGGGCAGCGGAAACATGACCATGCTGCAAACAAATGCAGACTGTTGGCTATCATTTTAGTAGGTGACCAGGGTATACCATTATTGAACAATTCTAAACCAGCCAACCCCAATGATTCCAGCTACCACTGCAGCAGGTAACCAAGGTATGCTACCTCTATGTGTTTCCGGAGTATACCCAACTGCAGTTTACCGCCAAGTGCCTTGGGTGATGGGATAATGACTCTGGCAATCTTGTCACAAGTCACGTCCTTTACTAGGTTTAAACTCATATAGGTATTCTCCACATTGCCCCGCCCCCCTCACAAATGAATACATGTATATATATATATGTATGTATATATATATATATATGTATTTATTTCAGACCTCCAGCCACTGTAGGGTCACCTTCTGAGGGCGGGAATACCACCTTCAAGCGGCCTGCGGTCGCAAATG